TTGATAAAGGTTTTTTGTGTTGTGGCCAGGTGGGTACAAACCTGCTGCAAACATGATCTAGAAGGAGTGACACTGAGTCGAGGCTATTGTCCAGCTTGGTGTTGTGGTACAGACAGCGATCTCTCTGTAACTCAACTGCTTGTTTCAGAAGTGTCTGTAACCTCCGAGGAGGCAACATCACAGAAGGTGGAAGGTACGCTGGAAACAAATACAACAGTAATGGTACAAACGAACACCTGTAAATCAACAACTTTTATAGGCCACAGTCAAATAAGGGCCACCAAGTAATACAAGTGGTTAAGACAGTGGGGAGATGCTCTGCTAAAAACACAAAACAATATTTGCAAATTTACTTTGTAGTTTGTCCAAGAGTCGAGACCGTGAGGCAGTGCCTTTGCCCTCCCATTCAGCCTTAGCTCTGAGATCCTCTGCATGACTACACATGAGGTACCTGCAGTAAAGAATGCATTTTTTACAAAACAACCCATTATTATATGATGTAGCAATGTCACATGCAACACATGTTAAAAGAAGCTGGGAGTCAGATAAGAATTCTGTCATAGAATCTGCTGAAAAAAGTTCAAATTCAGATGCTGACCTTGTTTAAAGGTAATATATTTGTAATAAATAGACCAAAGAATACCAAACTGGCAAAAGGTAAAACAGTTTTTCAGGAAAATAAGGCAATTTCTTTCAAAAAACTGTATTAATTTGCTATAGGTAAGTGTATGCAATGCATTGCTAATCTAGGCATATACATACAACTGGGTAAAATTTGTTTTAGAAACCTGTTTCTATGCATTAGCTAGCATGTTCAGACTTAGTCTTGAGTCTAGACAAAGTGCAGATGATATTAGGCCTGTAACCGTACCCGCTGAGGACGTGGATGCGGTCTGTGTTGTATTTGAGCGGTGTCAGCTCTCCTCTCAAAACCTGAAGAGCCTCAAGGACTTTACCATCTTCAAGATACTCCAGGTATTTCTGCTGCAGCAATAGGAACTTCATTCGCTAAACAGAAATACAGACAAGAGCAAGCTTGTGACGAGGACGTAGAAAAAGACTTAAGAGAACAATGGGAATAAAAAACTATTTATAAACAGAAAAAAACACAGTTGTAACACTGATTACAACTGAAGTTGTAACAATGATAGGAAGCCTTCTGAACCAAAGCAACAGAAATATGTTCATGACACAATTGCTGTTAAAACAGCACAGCTGCTCATTGATAATTCCCAATACAATGATTTTCAGATTTATTTTTTTTTATTGTACAGGCAGCAGGAGGCCAATTCAGAATAATTCTAGATTGTCCTAGAGTGTCGCCCCTGGATTTGACTATAATACGACTCAGTTTGTTTCAGGTTTAGGCAAAAGAGCTTACCACAATAGCGTTTGGAGAATGCATCAGTGCTCTCAGTTCATTGAGATCATTCTCAGCCTGCACCAAAACAAAAGGGGAGGGTGGGGTGAGGGGTTAGAGGGGGGAGACAAGAGACACAAATGATTAACTCAGCAGTTTCTACATGACATGAATAACACAGAGCACATGAAGTGTCATGCCATTACATTAACTGTAACTCATGTGAATAATATGACTTTCCATGAATGAAATAAACTGCTCTGGTGACTTTTCTGGTTTTCTACTCTATACTGTGGATCCAAAGCAAAAGAAATTAACATTACATTATCTAAAATAATAAAAATGTTTTGGACACTGGCTGTCTTGAGTGTGCTATGCATTTTTTCACTTTTAAGTTGCTGCTCCCTGCATTTGCACCTCTATAAAGGACTTGTGTGCGTTTTCTATTTCATTTGATTCTACTGTAGCCAAAGATTATAGATATCAGATGTGGTCTTAACATTGAACTCATGGATTATAAGAATGAAGCAAATTTCTTCCTGTCCGTCACCTCAAAGCCAACATTCGTGTTACCATCCTATTGAAGTTTGAATCTGTTTTGTCTCAGACATTTCATCTAAGCCATAAGACCAAAGTACACCCCTTTCCCCTTGTTTTATCTGGCTGAAGGTCTAGAAAGAAACAAAACAATCTATAGTTAATATAGTAAAATAGAACATTTGATTGTGTGCCAGCAGCACAAAATTGAATGATTCAATGGATTATTAGATTCAATAGATGCTTATTTTCCACCGTGCTGTAGTATAGATAGTAAAATCTAAAACCTGAAAATGGTGAATCAGGCACTCACCTTGTCCCACTCCCCCTCCATGACATGATTGCGGAATTTAGTGGCAGAAGGATGTTCGAGCCTGCAGCCTGACTCCTGCATCAGCAGGTCCACAGTCTGACTGCAAAGACAGTGACAAGGTAATGTTAGATTATTTGTATTTAGATGTAACAAAGCTCCTTTGTGACAATGGGCTTTATGCAAACTTATTCAATAAAGCCCAGTTCAGCAAGCACATTAGGTCCTGTCAATGATACAATATGTTTGAAACTAATAATGTTCAAGACTTAATGATCACATAAGTAGTTTTATCTGCATTTATTTGCCTTATATAGACAGCATCATAACCTGAGTTTCCACTGCAGCTACCATTAACTTATTAAGGATGAACCATCCATCTGTCCAGGTAGCACCCTGTGTTAAACAGTCTGACACCATCTCATGGGGTCCAAGGATAAAGGCTGAATAATCTTCAGGGATAGAGCTGACACCTCTGGCATTATGACATCATTCTTGTGTATCAATGGAGTGGCGCAGCACCTTTGTGTTTGCCTCTCATCCAGCTGCACTGTCTCGGTGCCTTCCCCTCAGCTCAAATGCTGAGGCCTTGTTTCATAAAAGGCAAAATGGTAAAAAGCCCGCAGCTCACACTGTGTAAACACAGCGCTGTTAAGCTGTGTATATAGTGTCTTGTAACGGCAGCTTTACCTTCTCAGTGGACACCAAAAGGATGTCTCGCTTTAAGGCAGTAGCAACGGCCCTTTGGAGAAGAGAGTATGCTACTTGAAAAGCCCACTGTGCTATAATTAGATTCAAATACAGAATTTCAATCTAAAACAGCTGGGAGAAGGCGCATTCCACAGCCGCCATGAAACCAGCGCATTCTGCTCGCCACAACCACAACATCATTACAATATTAAAGACATTGTTTCGGTAAAACACAGACGATAGTTATTTCAGATAATGATCATTGCAGACACAAGAAATCTATCTGTAAAACAAATGTAGTTGATTCAAATGACAGCTGTAGATGTGCATAGAGTGCACTCCTGAACTAACCAGGTCGGTTTTCATAACCATGCTTCTTATTATAACACGATGGCTGACATATCCACGTTCCTCCCACTTTATTCTGCACAAACCCTGCTTTTATTGAGGCTGTCAAAATGGAAAGCTACAAAAAAGCACAACAGAAAGCTGCCAATCCGCATATTACGTTTTTGACGCAAGATTGATGCAGATATCGGACTATTTTAACACGTCTATTTAAGAATTATTGCAAATGTTAATTAATGGGTTAATTAGGTCGTCCTATATTGATAATTATGCTTCTGTATTCTACTCAGGGTTTCTTTGAACTACTAGATGATGTAATGATTTTATGAGGGCGAAATCTTTTAACGTGTAGGCAACAGCTAAAGAAATGCTATATGTAAAACCCCAACATAAGTGTATTGTAGGTGGAGCTTTTATTAAGCATATTTGTTTTAAATTAGGACAAATTGCCACAGCGTACACTTGTGCTGTTAGCTCCCAGGCTAAGTGTTATTGTGCAAGATGGACCCCTTCTTTCTACCAAAGCCGAGCTCACGGGCTAAAACTACCCCATCCCCCCATGTTTGTGTCTGTCAAGCATACTAACAGCGTTTTACCAGCTGCCATTTCGAACTTCCCCTCGAAATAACCGTCTTTTGATAATAATTATCTCGATTATTGTCAATATTGTGTAGGGTACTGGGGGTTTCCTCGAGTGACACAGAGAATAAACTTACTTTAGCCCTAATCCGTGGAGATGTTGTCCTATTAATCGAATGACATCTTCCTCCGCCTGTGTTAAGCGTTTCTTCTTTTTAAGTTCTGAATTTGAAGCCGTGGTGCCTGACAACGAGCCCGAACCGGGACCCGTAGAAGCCCCATTGCTGGTACCGACGCTATTCCCGTTGTCCGTGCTGGAGAGGAGCCCATTGGAGTGGCCAGCCGAAGAAGACTCCCCATTCTGTGCGCTATTTAGGCAGGAAATATCTCCGGATTCTTGTCCCTGTCCTGCCCCGTTTGCCTGCATACTGCTGCTAAGGTTGTTGACAATACTTCGGTTAAAGTGGATGGCAGAGGTGGCTTGAGAGTGGGTAGCAAGTCCTAAGACAACTCCAGTTAGGCCTGTTACAATTGCTGAAGCCCCGGGCTCTCCTGCTCCCTCCGCCGCCGAGGCTCGGTGCTTCTTCCGCGGGGGCGGTGACGCTCCACCGGTGTCCGAGTCGGAGGAGGAGGAAGCGGAGGCCAGAGTTTCCTCACCGAGAGCGGCCGTGGTTAGCAGCCGACGGAGCTCCGGGTGGGAAAAGGACGTCTAGCTTCCAGATTGAAGGCTTGGTTGTCGGGCTCAGAGAGAACTGTCAGTTAATGCCCGTTTTTGTTGTTGTTTCTCAAAACAGCTGCAGCTCTAATGGAGTCCTGACGCACTGACGTAACCGGAAATTCCTACACTACCAAGCTTCCGGGTAGACTTATAATCCGTAGGCGGTGCATTAAAATTTACTTATAATAATTTACTTATAATAATTTATTCCGCTATCAGTGACATTGCTATTATCACTCTTGTTTCGTATCTCGTATTCGTATTTCGGAGAAGAAAATAAAATGAAACAATTTAAGTTATTAATATATTTTGCAACCATAGTATAACAACTTGGAAAAAAATAACAATAAAACTTGAATAAAATCACAGAATCTCACATTCATCTCACTGAGCCTTCACATCAGTAAAACAAAACAAACAAACCAAAAAAAAAAAAACAACAAAAAAAACAACACCGTTATAATGAGTTAATTACCTGTTTAATTATGCAAAACATTGGCTGACCCACAAGCTGTACCCCTATAGAAAAAGTACAGTATTTTGAAATATGTTGTTTGCAGTCTACTTTGATGCCATAATATGAATATAAATGATAAAACAATGTATCCATATGCTATTGGGAGCAACTCAAGAAACATCTACTACTTGGTGGGGTAGAGCAGTAGAGGCTGGAACATTGGTTTGTGCAGGCTTGTCTCTGCCTTTCATAAAAAAAGTAAGTAGTTCACCTTTTCCTTTAACATAAATTGATCCTCTTCGTATAAACCGAAAATCATATTCTTTCAGTATTTTATAGCAATCTTCCACCACCTGAGGAAAAGGAAACCATAAATGAAACATGCAAATTATGATACAACATTATAATATTTATTTCTAGACTAGGCTCTTTATTTTACCTGAATGTTTCCCATGACTCCAGTGGACTCCATTCTGCTGGCTACATTCACTGTGTTACCCCAGATATCATAGTGAGGCTTACGTGCCCCAATCACACCAGCCAGCACTCCACCCTTATTGAGACCTATCATTGGTGAACAGACAAATGTGAGCTTATCTACTCTTAAGCATCTACTTATTCTCTGCACTGACACTGACTGACCTATTCGAAGCATGAAGTTGTTAAAAGACTGTTTGTTTAGGTTGTTTAGTGTGACTTTCATTGCCAGAGCAAATTCAGCCAGGTCAGCGAGATGTTGCCAACGCTGAATCAATGAGGGCTCTTCAGACTGTGAAACAGGAGCTCTTAATGTTGGTATTTCAGTCTTAGCTCAAGGATGTAATGTGTTTGTTCGAGGATTTTACAAACCTTCAGATTGTTGTATCCATTTGAGATACTTTCTGTGGTGAGACCTGAAGCTGCCATGTATGTGCTGCCTATGGTCTTGATCTTAGTTATACAGCGGAATTCATCTCGATCTAACAACTATACATACACATGACTGCAAATTTAAAGAGAAATATAAAGAGCACATAAAAAAAAAAAGGAGCTGACTTACACTGTCAAAGTCTGAAATTATCTCATTAAGAATCCGGAGGCACTCAAGGCCTCCATTGTTAATGCTCTCTTCTGTGTAGAAGTCCGAAAAATTGGGGATAGAAGCAAACATCACACCAATTTCTTCATATGACTGGCTGTACAACTCCTACACATGCAAAACAAGGTGTTGGACTTTTAAAATGTACATACTGCACATATATATATATATATATATATATACTGTATAAACTGCACATACTGTATATTTAAAAGCCAATGTGTAAGTATAAAAGTAGCCACAAGGTGACACTGTTGAGCAGTGAACAGTTTGAGGTGCTAAGGCAAATTAAATAAAATGCACAAACATGACTAACAACTGTGCCACACATACCTCATCTCTCTTCTTTGTGCCTAGAAAGTGTTTGGCTACATGCTCTGGCAGCATGTTCGTGACCAGTGCTTCATTCCAACGTCTCATTTCAGAGACTTTTTCCTTTTGTTCATGAACACCAATTTTCCACAGGAACAACTTCCTAGACTGATGCTCCAACTACAAAAACAGAAACCATATATTCCAATAAGTCAGTGTCTATATAATACGAATTGGTGTTTGTAGGCTAATTGAACTATAAAACTTACATGACGGGCAAAAAAGTAAAAGCCAATCATCATAACTATTATCATCATAGTCATAAGGTACTTGGTCGGCACAACAGAGGTTCTGTGAAACGCACAAACATAATTACAATATAGAAATCTAACTAGCTAGTATTAATTTGCTGACTATTTCTTACCTGTAACTTTCAAACTGTATCAAATCATATAGTTCGTAAAGGTCACTCCAGCTGTAGATATTCACAGCTCCTGTAGCCGTGACGACCAGCACCATGAGGCCCAGTTTAATCAGGTGGCCGACCTGTACTAACATTGCTGTGGCAATAAGGGACATGACTGCCATGAAGCTGTAGTGTTTGGGATTTTTGGCACAGTCTCTGTCCCCCACAGCCTCCAACACCAAACCAGTAGAACTGTTAAGAAGGCGGAGTGATGGAGGAGCACAACTAAGCTAAAACATCAGAGATCAACAAGGTTAGTCAAAATGCTTTTCATATTGATTTGTTCCTAATGCTGCACTATGTACATTTTCTTTTTGAGAGTCAGCCTTCTACTTGTCTCATGGAAATGCTATTGCTTTAGCTGGAATATTTCACAGAATTAAATTAAGAATATTTTTAATACTTGTATTTTACAGTGAAAAGAGTAACTTTTCCATAGACTACACCAGCAATTTTACCCATGTGTCACCTGATCAGGAGATAGATAAAATAAATGCCATATTGTGAAACATTTTAGGCAAAACAATATCATCAGCACTGAGACAAGACAGCAATGTAAGCATCTGAGCTTCAAGTCCAAAACAACATTTTGACTGACATTTGACATGGCAGCTAAAATTAAAATAAATGCTCATTTTGCACTTTATGCTGTAGTTAGTGCTAAAAAGCAGCAGTGTGTGTAACAGAGTGCTCCTGTGGGAACATGACAAATGAGGCAGCAGGCTATGACATAGACAACTAATGAATCCCACTGGGAACAAGAAGTCAAACACTTACAAGACACTGATTGCTTGATGAGGACAAAGTGGAAACATGCAGTTGGAAAATAGAATGTTTGGATAACATGGAATTTCATAAAGCAATGCCATTTCGATCCCCTTGCTCATTTGCCGAGACAAAGTAATACTGCAATGTTTTTATATTTGAATGTTATACAGTTAGAATATGTGTTCGTTTGTGCATACATTATTTGACCACTCTAAAAAGTATATAATTAATTATATCTCACAGCAGTTAACTACAAACTTTACCATATCAGCAATCACAGTCATGGTCAGTACAAATATGGCTGCCACGGCCCATGTGTTCCTTGCCCAGCGTGTTCGATCAATCCACAAAGAGAAAGACACCAGCCTTTTTGAGAACATCTGTGGCACACAATGAGTATAATTAGACAGATTTGACCCTTGAGCATTTTATAAATTGAAAAAGCTTCTAAACACTAAAGTATTTTTTGCCTATTGAGAAAATTCTCTATTGCATTTTTATTTTATTTTTTTGTTTTATTAAATGGCAACGAGTAACAGCCTGTATGTAATGTTGAAAACCATTTGAATTTGGCATATCACCCTGCCCTAAATTTTCCCATTCTTCCATGCTGCTACAGGCGCAATGGATGCACCTGGGGCCCTTCACAAAATATGGAGCTGGGCTCATAGTCAAGAATATCTTGCTGGATGAATAGTCTTCTGTCTATGATACTTAGCTTGCAAACTGGGATGATTAAGTTCTTATTTCAGGATTTGAATCTTAAAGTATATGGGTTTTTCAACACATGGTCATGTTCTTACCCTGGGGAAGACAGCAGCAAGTGAGCAGACTGTAAGGATAAGCAGTAAAACCTCTCCAACAGCAAAAGTTACATAGTTTACGCCCAACCTGAAATGAAAGCAAATAGAATATGTGTATTGTAGACTTGTTTTCAGTCAGTTCATAACTGATTTTAAAACAAGTACACAAACTCACAGCGGATCTATGAAAACCTGCATAGCTGTGATGAAGAAAAGCACAATGGCACAGCAGGAGAAGGCTGCTCCACTCCTCTTCTCTTTCTCTGATGAGTAGTGCTCCTCTAGTTTTCCATCCACAAAACTCAACGACAGAGGGTTGAACTTGTTTTCTTTCATTCTTTTAGGAGTGCACAAAACCAGAAATATAAGACAGTGGTTCTGTTTACATCTTTACATCTGATCATTTTTTGATTTCTGGAGTTATTTGATCATTTGACTATTATATTGAATAGTCATGTATCATCAACATCTGATTTGAACAATCTAATTTATTTCTTTGTTCACATCTGGGTAGAGTTTGACAAAAAAAAAAAGCAAAATGGTAAAAAACTGGCCATTTAAATGTACTCATTGTAGCCAAAGTGAATGCTTTATTGTGTCTGTTCATTCTTACATTTGCTGTGTCTCTCTCTCTAGGAGCTCCTGCTGTAGACGTCTGTTAATCACTTGCTCCTCAACAAATTTAACCCTCTGAGACTGTCAATAAGAATGAAACAGGAAGAAACTAATGTCAGCATGTAAGGTTACGAAAATATTATATGTACTAATATTTTTGCAATTTTATACAATGCAACATTTTAAGAGCCCATATTATGCTGTTTTATAATCTTAAATTTGTTTCCTTACCAAAAACATACCCTGAGTTGGGTTTTGTTTCATTCACACGTTTAAAACACAAACCCTGCATGCAAAGTTCTTCTCTCAAACTAAAAATACTTTGTTCCACCTTGTAATGTCATGTGGTAATACAGGATGTGCTCCACTGTATTTTTAAACTTCCTAAACCTTCAGTACATTGACTACATTCATTACATTTTGGATTCACTACATTCACTACATTTTGGATGATAACAGCCCTGGAACTGCCAGTCTCTAATGAACTAAAGGTAAAAGGTAGCTGTTGAGAACTACCCTTCAGGACATAACAAGGAGGATCACAGTATTTTGAGCTTTGGAGATGAGACAGGCTAATAAACCAGAATTGCTCAGAATGTATGAATGGAAGAAAGCACAACTCCAGGTATGTTTTTGTGAGAAGGTAACAACATTTTAACATGACTTAAAACTCACAAGAATCAATTTTTTATAATATAGGACATTTAAGCAAAAAAACAAGAGGACAGTGATTCCCAAACTATGGTGCTGGTACAACAGAAGATCTTTTCTAAGTTGTATTTTACTGCATCTGAAAAGCACATTACGACATAAAATTTCACCTCATGTTTTGTATCTGGTGTTGCCTTGGGTGACGCTGTAGTCCCATTACTTGACGTAGTGTTAATCAACTGGTTTGAATTTTGGTTTGACAGTGTTCTTGGTTTCTATAAATACGAACAAAACATGCATAAAAACAAAAGTCATAAGATACAGGTATTGGAGTAACATATTTAGTTTTATCACTTACATTTTCATTCAGTCCATTTGCTTTGTCCTTTGGCACTATGACCAGGTACGTTTCAATGCCTTTTTCCATCAGATATTCACACCTCTCGCCTCCATTACCGGGCTCCATCTCAAACTCTCCATTCAAACTGTCCTTTGTGCTCTGGGAAATGTGCACTCTCCTGTTTTTAGTAGACAAAAATAGAAATGTTTTAAAAGTGCCTGTAAATGTTGTGGTTGAGGTTCAGGTATAACATGCGTGTGTATGAATTGTAAAATGAACCATAAAAAGGTAAAAATATATGTGAATACTATTATTTGAAAGGTTTCACTGTTTTTTGCCTTTATTACAGCTCTTTTAGATGAAGAGTATATTTTTTGATATTCCAGTTTTCCACATGTTCAAAACATCAGTTGTACTAGGATACATTTTATAGCATATTTACCACTTTATAATAATGAACACTACTGACATGTAAACGATATTTATATTGAAAATTAATAATAAAGTATTCATACCCAGGAATACCTCCAGACTCCATTTTATTGGCAACTGTGACGTCAGTTGACCAGACATCAAACTGCCAGCGCTTCTGCCCCAAAACCCCACCAAGCACAGTGCCAGTGTGGACTCCTACACGCATGTCCACATCAGTTTGTGTCTTTTCTCTCACATACCTGAAGAATATGTATTTATTATTTGGTTTTCTGTTTTTATTCTGAGAAACCATATATATTTACATCTACAGTATTTTTATTTTTTTTTATTGTATATACAAAGTATTGGAAATAGAGCATATACTTACGATATAGCCTCTACCATGGCTAGGCCCATATTGATAGAGCAAGCAGCATGGTCTTCTCTGAAGTCTGGAAGACCACAGATGCAGTAATAACAGTCACCAAGAATTTTAATCCTTAGTTGGTGATGTTGCTGTTATATAAACAAAGTAAACAATTAGTTTACACAATCTAGAAATATTTCCCAATAACACCCTCTAGTCTAGACTGGCGGTACACAATTTAATTGCCTGTATTTGTATTTATATTCTGAGTCTACTCTAATATCATGAAAATATGAGAAAATGTACTATAAGTAATGCAAATATTACCACATGTTCTTATACTATTTCTGATATGGATCAAGACCACTTTAAAGCTGTTTCAAAAAGGTTAAATCAATATTGATATAGGTCAAATAAGTATCTAGCTTTGATTCTAGTATTGATTAGTATATGGGTTTTAATGCTTTTACAGGCATTATGGTTTGATGTGATTGTATTTTACAACACTGTGTACTGTGGTACATGAAACTTACTGCAGCCAGTTTGTCAAAGCGAGCAAACAGTTCATTAAGAAGTTTGACAAGTTCGTGAGCACTGCAGGTGGAAGAGAGTTGGGTGAAGCCTACAATGTCTGCAAACAGGATACTGAAGGACAGAAGTCAGTGGACAAAGTTATCATCTTTCATGTATGACAAATATTTTTTAAAACTTGGTGTTTTACCTGACGTTTTCATGGCGGTACATGTACATAGTGTTAAACTGCTGCTGTCGCTGCACTTCCTTCTGATCTGCCTGGTTCTTCATGCCCTGTAGCATCTCATCAGCAATGTGTTTAGGCAGAATAGACAGTAATAACTCCTCCTGCGAGAGGCACAGAGAAACACAGGTGCCAGTGATAAGACTGGTGAAGCATGAGAGGAGAGGCAGTAACTGAATGATGATATAAACAGTGCAGTCAGGTAGTCACAGGTGGTTTGTTAACATCTCCCCACGGGGTACATATCAACATAACGATCTACGTAGGTCACATTAAAATATACATGCATAGTTTGATCACAGTTCACAAAATGTATGGTAAAAAAGGGCACTCTGTTCAATGCTATTTTCTGAAGAGAAGTTCTCAAAAAAGAAAGCAAATAATAATTAGAATAATAATAGAAAAAACAATTATCACTGGTGAGGAGTGTGAGCAAAAAAATAAAATATCCATTTGTAGCATACAGCAAATACTCTTTTCTCC